CAGAAAGTCACACATTGTTTAAGAGGTGGTGGTGCAAGATCATTAACTATTTTATCTACACATCTGCAAATAATAAAAAATGTCAAACAACAGTAATTTATAATTTTTAATAATAAGGCAGTGATGATAACTTGATCGCTTTTTAGCTAAATATTTTCACAGCTTGTTTATAAATAGTATATAATGATTTTAACATGGTTATACTTGTTTGGGACCAACTTGTAGCACAATAAGATGTGGAAGAATCATTGTATGCATAAAGAGTTTAGCAGCAGCCATAGGTAATTGGTGCCTAATATTCCTGAATGTCATCAAGCTTGTTCTAGCACTTCTAGAAACATTTTTTTATTTTTTTTATTTAAATTAGAATCCATAATCATACCCAAATATTTATAATTCTCAACAATATTTTATTACTTCCCTGACAACACTTTTTTAAAAATACATTCCCACAGTTTTACTCACATTAAGACTTTGTTCAATGCAGCACTAAGTTTGATATGCCAAGACAAAAGAACATGCTGCTAAGTATAAACAACTATCATCTGCATACATCTGAACCTGGACCTCTGGACAAACTATAGGCAGATCATTAATATATAAACGAAACAAAATTGGTCCAAGAATTGACCCTTGTGGGACTCCAATGTTGCAGTAAAGAAATGGTGAGCTTATATCGTTGATTCTTGTACATTGTTTTCTTAAATTTAAGAATGATTCCATCCATGTTAATGTATTAATAGAAAAATAGATAAAAGAACATTGATTAACGGTGTCAAAAGCCTTTGACCTTTTGGATTTAAAGCCTTAAATCCAAACTGCATAGGATGTAATGGAAAGTTTTAAATATTCTACTAAGTGATTGCAAATGACCTTTTCAATTAATTTAGAAATAACTGTAAGAATACTGATAGCTCTATAGTTAGTTACATTAGCAGGATCACTTGTCTTAAATATAGGTGTTATTACTGCTGACTTCCAGGCATTTGGGAAATATCATTGTTTTATTGAACAATTAACCAAATAAGTAATAGATGTACTAAGAAAACAACATATTTAGCTTTAGAACTCTTAAGCTGGCTTAAATGTTTTATTATATAGGACTCAGATACTTCAGGAATATTAAAAACAGTAAGATCAAGATTTGGTGATATATTATCCTTACATCTTACACTAAAACCTTGTATTAAATCTTGATGAACTGAATCTATAAAAAAAATAGGGGTTTAACGGTACAATTATTAAAATGGAAAAATTTTCAGTATGGGTCTCGGCATGTGTAAAACATTGTTTTAACCACTGCACGAGTGGAACTTCATTTAAAACTTCCAGTTTTATATATTGTTACTTTTGATCAGAAACAAAGTCTCATCTTTCAAATTATGTCCCATTTTATTCAGGAAATTCAAACAATAAATGCTGTTTTGACGCTCTTTGATGTGGCACGACAGATCGCATATAAACACCTCAGTTCAAATGGCAGTGTGGAGCGCGATCATCTTTACTTCTAGTTTTAACAGAAAATAAACTTGAATGAACATCTCACGCCTCATGTAATCGCTCAATCAGTGTTTCCACCACAGAAACATGTTAATGAAACCGCTTGTATATCAAAACGTCATGTAGCATTTAATTTGCCTCAGGCAAGTCATCAGTGTCCACAGCTCATTAGTTCACTATAAATGAAGTCTAGAGAAGAGCATTTTGTGAAATATTATACTTTATAATCATTACATTTTACTTTACCTGTTAGTGATGTCTTATTTATTTAATGTATGTTTAAATAAATGTTACGAAACAAGTTATGAGAGCCACTGTGAATTAATATATTTCAACAACAAATATAATTTTTACGATTTAGAAGTTAATTAAAAAACTGCATTATGTGCAATTTGCATGTTTGCATACATTTTTTAAAGTTGAGTGTTGATTATTATGTTTAAAAATAAATAGTAAAATTAAGTTGTTAATTGTAACCTTATAGTAACTGAAAGGGCTCTCTATAGTTTAGCGCATAGGCTGAGGTAGATTTTTATCCCTAAGAAAATTAATTGTAATTTAATTTATTTAAAGAGAGCGCAATTTGTTCAGTAAACCACTGTTTAATAAAAAATAAAAAAAAGTTGTTCCCCCTGCTGTACCGAAACATACCGAACCGTGACGTCAAAACCGAGGTACGTACCGAACTGTCATGTATGTGTACTGTTACACCCCTAATAAAAAATTATTAAATATTATTCTAATTATTAGTATATATATTCTCCCAAACTTGTCTACTATTTCCCTTAGAATCATTTATAAGATCTATAAAAAAATTTGCTTTTGCTTTTCTCAATTCCTTTACAACTTTATGACATACGTATTGAAATGTCCATCTATCATGAACTAAACCTGATGTGAGCACTATTTTCAAAGCATGCTCCCACTGTCTCATTAACGTCAATAATTGTTCATTTAATCAAGGCAAATTCTGCTTCTTTCTAGAAAAAGTAAAAATTTTACTAAATTCACCTTTAATCTTATTAATTGTGACCGTTAAAAACTCAGAAGCAGCTTCTAATTTATCTGTAGGCAGAATCTCATTCCAATCTATTTTTTATTTTTATTTCTCTTCAAATTCATTTTTAAATCTATTCAGTATAATATTTAGCATATTTTCTTTGTCTTGTTGATATAGAAACCTATGTTTTGTTAATTTTCTTACGACTAATATAAGATTATGATCTGATAGCCCTGTTATTTATTGACTTAGTTATTCTTTCTGGTGTGTTGCTAAATATGAATTTGAGTTTCAGATGATGAGGTAATTCAAGTGGGGCCCTGAATTAACTCTACAAGGTCAAACTGACTTACTGTCTCCTGAAACCTTTTCCTATTTGACTTCTCAGTCCAATTTATATTAAAATCCCCAACCAAAATTAACTATTTATTTCTATCAAACGCTTTCAAATGATTTCTTAAATGATCATAGAACATACTACTTGATGCAGGAGGTCTATATATAACCACTACAGTAAATGTCATACATGCAGATAAAACCATTGTTACAGCAAATATAGTCTATAACCACAAAAGTATTGAATTCAATTTTCTTAAATTTAATGCAGTTCTTCACATGCACAAGCAGTCCACCACCTTTTCCAAATTTGCGATCCTTTCTCAAGACTTTATATCTGGGACCAGGTATGCAGTGTTTGGTGATGATTCTGTCAGCCACACTTCTGACAAGCAAAGCAAGTCAAAGTTCGAATTCATAAGTAGCTGTTCCAGTTGTTCAGTTTTTGAGGCAACGCGTCTGATGTTTAAATGTCCCATAAGTAATCCTTTGGGCTTTGAGCGCGGATCCCATAAAAGTTTCTTGTGATTTGCTGTTTTAAACCGATGAAAGTTCTCTGTTCTTCCTCATAAAGAATGTTTTTAAAAATCTTTTCAAATAACCTCATAAAGCTAGGATAACCTCCAACTTGTCTTAAGTCCCCAAAGGTAAGTGGTTTAATTAATTTATTGGGAGGGTTTTCATTGAGCAAGTTTTCATCAAGAACCATCATACAATCTAATTACTCCAAAGCCTGTAATTTTCTTCTTAAGGAAAATAAAAAAATCAGAAACACTTAAGAAGTTCTCAAATAGTTTCTTAACATCTTAAGAGCTGAACATTTTTATGAGCTTCTTAGAATTCAATCTTAGAATCAATTCAACAACACAAAAGGTCATACAATCTAATTACTCCAAAGCCTGTAATTTTCTTCTTAAGGAAAATAAAAAAAATCAGAAACACTTAAGAAGTTCTCAAATAGTTTCTTAACATCTTAAGAGCTGAACATTTTTATGAGCTTCTTAGAATTCAATCTTAGAATCAATTCAACAACACAAAAGAGGTTTAAATCTGTATGTTATGTTATTGTTCAAGAAAATTACTCCTCATTCATGATTATATTAATAGATTTTGATTTAAAGCTTTAAAGGATCAGCTGTGCTTTAAAGCATAATAACATATGCAAATGCATTAATTTGGTACTGTAAGCATATTATGATAGTGCAGAGAAAAAATAGCAACACTCAATGTCATACAGTATGTAGGGTCTCTGCTTCATCTCTGTACCTACCAGCGAGTCCTTGGCCTGAAAAAGTTTAAAGGGGTGGACCTTAAGGGATTCTTGCTCCATTCCTCCATGCCAACTAAAGCACAGCACCAGCATGTCGCCGCTCTTTGATTTTTCATTCCTATTCAACCTCAGTCAGCTACTTTTTTGACTCATCTCCTTTCTCAGCCCTCTTTAACTGATCCCTGCCTGTCACTGCATCTAGGTTGTTCAGAGTGAAAGAGAACTCGTCTGTTTATTGTGTTTGCTCTGCATCCATTAGATTGACTCACCTATGCTTTGTTTGTCTGAGTCCCATCCTTCCTTTACTAATATTAATCTTTCTGCACATCAGACTAGATATAGATAGAGCATTGAAAAATGGTGATGAGAATGGCAGATATTGTCGAACATGACCTTTCTGCTATGTGTGTGTGTGGACGCAAAATAATTATGTATTTTCATGCAGTTTGCGTTGCAATAAGCCTTCGTATATCCATGGCATTTTGAGTGCTCTGGAGTTTCTCTAGGAAGAGTACAACATTTGAGCAACTTTGGTGCCTAATTATAGATTCATGGAATGAATAAGATCGTGTATTAACTGTCTTTAGCCATAATACTCTGCAAAACAATAATTTGCATTAACAAGACTGCTCATTTGGTTGGGCATATGAATGGGCAGATGGTTACCATCTATTTAAGCTTTTGTTTTGGATTTGCTTCAGGCCTAATTCAGTATCTGTAATCATTGTGCAGCTGGATGATGTTTATATTGGCATAAATAGTAAAGTATGTTTTGATTTTTATCTGTCCAGTCTTTCCTCTGGCAATAGGATTTATGCTGAGTGGAACATGGCTCAATAAATAGTTTCCCCTCTCAAATTTCAATGTCTGTTTGTTGTCCCCCTCTTTTTTCAGTTGACCAGATATATCATTTGGCCTCACCTGCATCGCCACCCAACTACATGTATAACCCTATCAAGACACTGAAAACTAATACTATTGGAACTCTCAACATGCTAGGTAAGTATTTAAAAAAAATTAAATTCTCTCATCATGTGCTTGGACTTTTGTTAATCTTCGAAACATAAAATTAAGATTTTTCATGAAACCTGAGCGATTTCCATCCCTTCATTGGAAGTCTGCTCCACTAAAACTGACACTTCAGAAAGTTCCGTATTCATATTAGGGATCCGCCGATCCGATATTCATATCGGGTATCGGCTCCGATAGTGCAGAGAAAAAAATCTGGAGAAAAAATCAGAGATTTTTATTTATTTATTTTTTTCCGATTGTGCGAATTATTCTGTGTTACTTCTGAAGCCGTACGATAGCTTAATGTGAGCTACATATGAATATTTAAGTCCTTACATTAAAGTTCACACAAACTCTCTCCGCTGTGGCTGTCAGTCATTCGTTCAGCCTTTAAACCCTGGTCTCGTTCGGGTTACAGCAGTCAGCTCGGTAAAGCTCTCTCCAAGATCATTCTGTGTTCCCATTATACTTGATTTGTAAATACATGTGTATGATTTAGCAAAAAGGACTTTTATCGTCTTGCCGGAGTTTAATGTTGTTTTGTTACTTGCTACCGGGTGTCTTAGAGAACAAAACACGGGCGTAGAAAAGACTATCAAGTGTTTTTAACGTGCACAGTAACTGAAATTTAAAACTGTTAAAAGAAAGGCTCAATAACTGTTGCACAGATATAATACACTACGCATCAATTTCTCTTCCCTTATTCGTGCCATATGATACATAATCCATATGAAATAGAGCTTTTTAATCTAAGTCTTCTGAAGAGACTCAATCACTCTATATGAATACTGCCTCTATCCACATATGAGCATTGATCAGTGCACATACATAGAACACATTAAATATGGTAAACAGAAGCACAACTGTACTTGCTTGATGTACAAGAACAAGCCTCAAGGGTTCTTGTGCATCAAGCAAGCACATTTGAGCATTCATTAATCAAATCATATAAAGTTGTTGTGTCTTTTCAGAAGACTTGGATTAAACCAGTTGATTTAAATGTATTACTTTTAGCATCTTATTATGCACTTTTTGTAACATAAAAGTTTTGGTTGAATGACATTAGCAGTTTCTGGTTCAAGACAAGCGGGTTTTAGGGGCCACTGCAAAGTCAATTTTTCCTGTCCAGAACTGTCATATTTTCAGTGTCATGGAAAAGGGTCATTGGCCGTAAGTGTCAGAATCTAAGGTCTCCATAGTAACATATATTAGCAATTCCAGTGGCTGCTGGCATAAGATTGTCTCTATTATCATCCATAAGCTGTGGCTACAAACCCAGGAAGAGATCATACAAAGATACTACAGATGTCTTTGTCACTAAATTTGGCTCCCTGAAAACATAAAATAATTAGCTCAGAATGATGTATGATCTTTGCTTTAAGATTTGTATAGTCATATGCTCTTCTGATGTTCTGATGAGGTCTAATCTTAAAATATCCCTCAGATATTTCAGGGAATGTCTGTGATGGAAAAAAATCGTTTGTTAATCATTTTTAGTAACAATATTGTTTTGCTGCTTGCGGCTGAACAGTTTCAATTCAGACTGGAGTTTAACGCTTTAACTGTAATTTAGAAAAATATTTAAACTGATAGACAAACTAACTGTTGTTTACCAGGCAACAATCTATAACTCATTCTCTGGCTTTGGTGATAGAATTGTGGGGGTAAAGTCAGAAAATTGCATGCATAAAAACCATTTAGTTCAATTTGGTCTTCTGTCTGTCCGTGTTGGAAAGGTTAGCGTCTTTTCAATTATCCACCTTGCACTTTCTTTGCAGTCTTCAATCAGATGTCCACTGTCTATAAGTACAGCAGTTAAAGACTTTTTTTTTTTTTTTTTTTGGTGATCAGAGTTTTCGGAGTTATCATTTCTGAGTTGACATGAAATCTATATTCCGTCTCATGCCTGCAATTACATATAATCGCTTTTGCAGGTTATTGCCAGGTCCACATGGAATCTGTCCCACAGAATTGCAACTACTGTCATTCTTAAAATTCTTGTTTAATTAAATATTTTGATTTTTCTTTCAGCTGTCAGTTAAAGTACAATTGGCATAGGCGCAAGTAGTAAAGACACAGATTGCAGGCTCTTGAGACAGCATTTAAAAAAATTATTTTAAACTTGACATGCCATGTTAAAAAACTGACCAGCCACAGTTTAAAAAATACACGGTCAAGACAACGCAGGTGAATAAAGTGGTTCACACATATTAAGATCATGCAACCCAGGCTCATTCGAAATATAAAAATCTATCTACATTTCTGCAAAATTGCAAAAACGCACCTTTTATATACATTTCACTGCAGTTTCCAGCTGCAACTTTTGTTTTTGTTTTTTACACAAATTGTTACAGGGGCATATTATCAATTTTTAAATACGTTTTTTTTGCACAGTTTCTTTCACAGTGCAATGTTATGACCTCCAAACGCTTTTACCATAGTGTGTCACTTGTAAACCTTTATGTTTTGATGTTTGCATCACATTAAAGGGGTCATATGATGCAATAAAAATTTTTCCTTTCTCTTTGGAGTGTTACAAGCTCTTGGTGCGTAAAGAAGATCTGTAAAGTTGCAAAGACTAAAGTCTCAAATCCAAAGAGATATTCTTTATAAAAGTTAAGAGTCAGCCACACCTACCTAAAACAGCTCGTTCTAACACACCCCCACATGTCTACGTCATGATGTGGGAAGATTTGCATAACGCCGCCCAAATGTGCACGCAAAGAAAGAAGGCGTAACTTTGATTCTCGCTGTAGTATTGTTGCTGCCGCCGCCATGTCGTAAAGACGCTGTGTGTTGTGAAAGCGAATCTACTTTGTTTGGCCTTCCAAAAGAGGACACGACTAGAAATCAGTGGTTAAGTTGTATTTACAACACCGTTCCGGAACAGTTCAACCCAAATATTCAGATGTGTTCAGCGCATTTTATGGAGGACGAGGACTGTTTCCTGAGAGAGTAGCCTACAATGCCGGTGTCTGTTTCTATAAAGTGGGGCAATTCCAACTTTGCAAGGACAGTCTGGTGCTTCTGACTCGCAGCTTGTAAGTAAGTTTTCATATTTAAAGAATTTGCCACTGATGATTCAAACGTGAGTTTTGAGCAGTGTAGAGTAGCGCTTGTTGTTTGTCGTTTCTCCGATCCCAAATGTAGACATGGTTTCATGTTTACGCAGTGCGATACGCAATGTGTAAAATGACAGTATAAGTCATTATAATCAGTAATTATGTCCCCACTGGATGCAACAAATGCCTCGTTTATAGTGGGTTTTACTGATTTTGTCTCGTCGTGCTGGGAGACAGCAGTATGGTAAGGGGTGTAACATTTCCGTCACACGCTGGAGGTATTCGGCCAATCACAATGCACTGGATAGCTGGCCAATCAGAGCACACCTCGCTTTTCAGAGCGATGAGATTTGTAAAAATCGACGCGTTTCAGAAAGGCGGGGCATAGAGGAGAAACAATAATGTACATTGTGGAAAATAATGCGTTTTTTTTACCTTAAACCCCATAAACACATTGCATTACACCAAATACACAAAATAATGTTATTTGTAGCAACGTCATATGACGCCTTTAATAGCTTCATATGTATGGCTTTTCTGATGTAGTAAACTTGCTCGGTAGCTTATCTAGTGCTGCACTGCGATTGCATTGCGAATAGTTTGAGTACAAGTCCTGTGAAATACAAGTCACATAAATGAACTCAAAGACCTTTTAGAAGCTAGTTAAAATAAAGCGATATGCAATATTATTTACAGTGAATTTAGAACTGCTAAGGGGTGTTGTTACTCCCTTATAAAACAGTTACCAAACAATACATATATTAAAGGCAAAATACATGTATTAATATGTAACTTTTTACATCACTCTGCTAGAAAAATAGTCCCTGACAGTAAATGGCAGTAGAGTGTTCCTGTAACATGCCTCATCGTATGGAATGCATACAGTGGGGAAAATATTTATTTGATCCCCTGTTGATTTTGTAAGTTTGCCCACTTACAAAGAAATGAAGGGTCTGTCATTTTTATGGTAGGTTTATTTTAATGTATAGAGACAGAATACCAACCAAAAAATCCAGAAAAAACACATTATATAAAGGTTAGAAATTGATTTGCATTTCAGTGAGTGAAATAAGTATTCGATCCCCAAGCAAAACATGACTTAGTACTTGGTGCAGAAACCCTTGTTGGCAAGCACAGAGGTAAGATGTTTTTTGTAGTTGGTCACTAGGTTTGCACACATCTCAGGAGGGATTTTAATCCACTCCTCTTTACAGATCCTCTCTAAATCCTTAAAGTTTCTTGGCTGTCATTTGGCAACTCGAAGTTTCAGCTCCCTCCACAGATTTTCTATAGGATTGCGGTCTGGAGACTGGCAAGGCCACTCAGTGACCTTAATGTGCTTCTTTTTGAGCCACTCCTTTGTTGCCTCGGCGGTATGTTTCGGGTCATTGTCATGCTGGAAGACCCATCCATGACCCATCTTCAGTGTTCTGGCTGAGGGAAGGAGTCTCTCATCCAAGATTTTACAGTACATGGCCCTGTCCATTTACCCCTCAATGCGGTGAAGTAGTCCTGTACCCTTAGCAGAAAAACATCCCCAAAGCATAATGTTTCCACCTCCGTGCTTGACTGTAGTGATGGTGTTCTTGGGGTCATAGTCAGCATTTCTCTCCCTCCAAATACAGCGAGTCGAGTTAATGCCAAAGAGCTCAACTTTGGTCTCATCTGACCACAGCACTTTCTCCCAAGCCTTCTCTGAATAATTTAGATGTTCTTTGACTAACTTTAAATGGGCCTGTACATTTGCCTTCTTGAGCAGGGGGACCTTGCGGGCGCTGCAGGATTTCAGTCCATTGCGGTGTAGTGCGTTACCAAAGTTTTGCTTGGTGATTGTGGTCCCAACTGCCTTAAGATCATTAACAAGCTCCTCCCATGTAGTTCGGGGCTGATCCCTCACTTTTCTCATGATCATCCTTACCCCATGAGGCAAGACCTTGCACGGAGCTCCAGACCGAGGCCGATTGTTGGTTGTTTTGTATTTCTTCCATTTCTGAATAATCGCACCAACAGTTGTGTCCTTCTCACCAAGCTTCTTGCTGATGGTCTTGTAGCCCATTCCAGCCTTGTGCAGATCTACAATCTCATCTCTGACATCCTCTTTGGTCTTGCCCATAGTGGTGGGAGAGGTTGGAATGGAAGATACAGATTGTGTGGACATTGGGAGTAGCTTCTTAAAGTGGCAGGACTAATCTGTGTTCCACATGGGCACATAACCAATCTGTGGGAGCCAGAATTCTTGCTGGTCGGTAGGGGATCAAATATTTATTTCACTCACTGAAATGCAAATCAATTTCTAACCTTTATATAATGTGTTTTTTCTGGATTTTTTCGTTGGTATTCTGTCTCTATCCGTTAAAATAAACCTACCATAAAAATTACAGACCCTTCATTTCTTTGTAAGTGGGCAAACTTACAAAATCAGCAGGGGATCAAATAAATGTTTTCCCACTGTATCTAAACTGATACCGGAACTGTTCTCATGCGTTGTGTTATTATTTTTTTTAAACAATATGATATGTACTCGTATATCTGCTTATCTCTTAGCAGAGTCAAAGGTGTGTGTATTTAGAGTAATGTACAACGGCTTTGAACTTGGCATAACCTGTCAAAATCAAGGATAGAACTATCTCTTTTATGATGACATGGTTTCTTCGGCAAATGCATTTTTATTTCAGGTTTGTTTTCCTTCACACTATTGGTTAGGTTTAGTATATAGGGTATGTTATTTTCAAACATAATGCAGCATTAACCTTTTAGTGCCAATCACCTGACATTTCATTTCCAAACTGCTGTATGCGCATTGACATAAAATGTTCTGAACATATGTGTTTGCATCAGGGAAAATATAAGCTTAAATCATATTTCAATGCATTAGTGTGCAGATAATCATTTATATTGTACATCCTGTGCATGTCCTGTTGTAATGGAGTGACTATCTAAATATACATTTAATGAAAATGTTGAGAATTTAACACCTCTACTCAAACATCAATCTGTGAAAGAGGTTAATTATTTCTGACTCCCAATGGGAGTCATATATTGATTGATTAGTCGAACTTTGTCTGGTTAGATACAATTTAACAACTGATTTGCTCATGTCTCTCTGTATTCACAGGATTGGCCAAGCGAGTTGGAGCTCGTTTACTCCTTGCCTCAACTTCAGAAGTGTATGGAGGTACTTGTAAAAATATTTCCATTCTAATGCTTAAAATGATGGAAAGGGGGCACTAAATAATTAGATATGTGTTGTATGTACATACTAGCATTTATACAGTGACATACATTTTTCGGACAACACCATCCAATGTGCATTTGGTTTACGACATCAGAGAACTGCAGTCAAATAGCCTTAGCACTTTATATGTGTGTACCACATTTTGAGTTGAAATCAAAGGCTAGAAAGGACAGGGAAGGAATAGTTCAGTCAGTGTGAGAATGCATGAGTCTGCTATCTGAAAAGATTTTGGTAGAGGTGAACTTTATGCTTGTTCTATGTAATAATAAAGAACCTGATGCCAATTGTGAAGCATGGTTGTGGGAGCGATGCAGTGGAGGCTGCTTTGAGTTCATCTTGAAATTGCCACACAAATAATGTGACTTAAAAGGAAATATTATGGCCATGTCAAAACCTGAAGGATATGCTATGGGGAGGCGAACAGAGTGTGCAAGAATGTTTTCTCCAAGTCAGTGAAATCAATCAGAACAAATGTCTACAAGAAGTCTAAAGATGTCTTCTAAAAGAGACAACTTCAGCTCTTGAGGCTAAGGGGGTTTCCATACCATTGTTTAAATTGTAATTTTCAATGCAAAGAAAGTGAATTGAACAGGTCACCTGCACACCTCTTAAATCAGCAGTAATTGCACTGCTGAAATGACCCAACAACACCTTTTCTGCTTAATCTCTTTGAGATGGGTATAGGGATGCACGATATATCAGCCACCATATCGGTATCGGCCGATAAATGCTCATTTTTTCTGTTATCGGTATCGGCCTGATAAGAAAATTTGGCCGATATCTTAAAGCCGATAAATAATGCATTATTTCCGGTATAATTATTTATTTTTGACTCACTGAAAGGAAACTGTAATTGATCTCCTGTGCTTTGATGGTTCAATAATCAGCTGATTTGGGAATGAAGACATATCTCTGTCTATCAAGAGAGAAATAAAGTTATAAGATATGTGTAGTCAAGGTTTGTTTTTTTTTTGTTTTTTTTTGGTATATTCTTTTTGTATTTTTTCTTTTTAATATCTTTCAGCTGGGCAAATGGCATTCATTACATGCAAAAAAAAAAAAACTAGAAAATGACAGTTCCATCAATTCAACTGTTTAGCCACTTATTGCCTTCAAACTGCGTAAATCATGGGGTAATTTTCATTTTTGGGTGAACTATCCCTTTAATCATTGGAATTATTTTCAGAATGTTTTTGATTAACATTAATATTGATTAATGATAAAAACATTGACAACCAATCAGAGTCCACCTGACTTTAACAAGCTTTAGCCTTTATGACAGCAGATGACTTCCAACAAAAATAACTTTATAGTAACTTCATGGTTATTGTTGTTGGTGTGAACCGGCCTTTAAAATTTTGCCCAGTTTAGCAGCAACTAGTAACCCCAGACAAGTGTCTCTAAGTACCCAAAGGGCCATCAACTTTTTGTTTTCAGACTTTCACAGCAAGTGGCTTCGCAAAAAGACTGGATTACTGCAAAGTCATTATGTCAGATGCTTAGTCCTGTTAATCATAAGCAGGACATACAGGAGCAATCAAATAATTTACAAATGTAAGCTTTTCTGAAAATCCAGAGTTTTTTTTTTTTTTATTGCATCTGCCATCTGCAGTTTAGTGGTATATTAAAACCTGATAATGTCAATATATAATGTCATATTTTTGAGGTATATGATTTTTTTCATAATTATTGAATCCCCATTCAGCATTGCTTTTTTTTTAAGTCACTAATTTGTTTTGTATGGTACAAAAATAAACCTTTAAGAAGCTATAACTAAACTGAATTAGCTTGAATGCATAAATTTAGCCCATGCATTTGCTAAAATTGAGCTCAAAAGAGCTCTCACAAAAACTAAAGAGAATAAATTGTTACATTAGAAAGTTGATGGTTACAAGAACATTTTCAATACAATAAAACTTCCTAAAGACACAGCTAGCAGTCTATTCAGAAGTGTAAAATGTGTTGCACAATATATATACATGTATGTATGTATGTATGTATATGTGTGTTTGTTTGCTTATATTTATTCATTTATTTTAGGGCATTGAATAAAAAGCACAAATTCATCAAGGGAATGTAAAATGTTTTGAACCTTTTTATGCCTTTATGGTTTATTGACAGAGTCTTTTTTTTAATCATGTATTTATTCATAGTTCTGTGGCTATAGAAATGCATTGAGACCATTTATAAAAATGTAATTTTTCCTTTTTTTATTTTTTATTTTGCTGTATGTAAAATGGGTGTCTGGATGTTATATTTTAGTTTTATGTTATGTTTTAGTTCTCCCTCTTGTTTTACAAATTTTGATATTTGAGTTAAATGTAACGCATAGGGGGTTGTGTATCATATATCATGTTTGTGTCTTCAACTAGACCCAGAGGTGCATCCCCAGAATGAGGACTACTGGGGTCATGTGAACCCTATTGGCCCCCGGGCTTGTTATGATGAAGGGAAACGTGTTGCTGAGACGATGTGTTATGCCTACATGAAACAGGTAAGAGTGAAATTCACCCATCTATTACTGCTTGCCACTGTTTAGCAGTTGGATTTCTGTATTTATATTTATTTATCCAACCCTGAAGGTGTATTAACCTCAGAGCTCAGAAATGTGCCGTCACATTGTTATTCCAGTCTACTCCATGTTCTGTCTCCATGTCCAATCTCTATTGTAATCTCTATTGTCTCTTTTGCTATTGTTTATACATCAAAGGGCTAACATTTCTATACTTGGAGGAGTGACAAATATTATATAAAAAAACAAGGGAGCTTGTCAACCTCACAGCAGCACAGCTGATGCACGGTTTGATGAGAAACTGAATGTGAAACCAAAATGGTGAGCCAAACCATTAGCAGCATTTTTAGATGGAAACAGTGGGTCTCATTCATGCATGAATATGTGCGTGAAATCTGCATACAAACATTTTCACGAACAAATCATGATTAACCAATAACTTTCGCACTAAAATGTATTCTAAATTTACGGGAAAAATCACACATACGGAAAAATAACATACTTTGGGCAGCTTTGTAAATGTGTTAAGATTAAGTTTATACATTAGTACATTTATACATTCTTTTTTTTTCTTCTCTCTTTCCATCTCGAATAATCTACTTTATATATATACAAGTCCAATCAGTATAATCAAACACAGCTGGACTCAAATGAAGGTGTAGAACCATCTCAAGGATGATCAGAAGAAATGGACAGCACCTGAGTTAAATATATGAGTGTCACAGCAAAGGGTCTGAATACTTAGGACCATGTGATATTTCAGTTTTTCTTTTTTAATAAATCTGCAAAAATGTCAACAATTCTGTGTTTTTCTGTCAATATGGGGTGCTGTGTGTACATTAATGAGGAAAAAAATGAACTTAAATGGTTTTAGCAAATGGCTGCAATATAACAAAGAGTGAAAAATTTAAGGGGGTCTGAATACTTTCCGTACCCACTGTATATATGTACACACACAAGATATAGAGGTGTACAACACATACATAATAATCTTACACCAACACTTCACATAATTACATGTAAATTTAACTTCATAATTACATGTAAATTTAACTTCATTGTGCTTTTGTTTTGGCTTAATTGGTTTGTTTATTGTCAGACTTGCTTTACATTTACAGCAATTTTTTCTTCTATTTTGTACAGTTTTTTTGTATGTCCTATTTTGTCTTGTTCTAAAAGCTAATTAAAGCTAAAAAAAAAGATTATACATTAGTTATTTTATCATAAATATGTTTTATCATATTCAGTGAAGTTTGTGCATACAAATCCGAAATAATTTGCATAATTATTAGTAAATGAGACCCAATGTCTTCTAGTTCTAGCATTTACATGCTGTCATTGAAGAGACGTTCCCTGGTACAGCGAACGATCATTTCCAGAGGTTGTTAGACAATCAGAAAGTAGTTTAGTTTTTGCTGTTGTTCTGTTACATTTACATTTTGTTCTATCATTACTTTTGGTATAATACTTTGAGCTTTTGACTGATGCACTTTTGTGATTTTTATGTCATCAGTTAAAACCATATTGTATGTGTTAGATGCGGAATTAAAAACACATTACTTAATTCTCACTTTCAGTGGCTAAATATAATGTAATGGCAAATAAAGTCCAGCGGCCTGCCTGTTAAACATCTTGCTATTACCTAAAGGTTGATAATTTGGGGCTCCGTTTGGTTGACAGACACACAGGCAAGATCACAACAATCATCTGGCTCTCTGGATCTATGCGACACCTTCATTTCCTGCCTGTCTTCTCGTTAAACATTGTGTTATGATTGATTGGCACCAGCCTTTGGTGCAGCTGATTTGATCTGTTTTTCTTCACTTGGTGTCACTCTCAGATTGTCTTTTATATTCACTGTTCCTCAAATACATACATTGTCACTCTACGTGTCACCATATGAGAAACGCTCCCTCACAAGTTTGATTTGAATATCATCAGCGACATGTGGCATCTGGCATATTTCTTTTTAAAATGAAATTCAATGACAATGTTTAATTGTGATCAGAGTGCAAATGCGCACACACACACAAACCCCAAGACAATAATGTGCCCAGAATATTCTTTGCTACCTGCATCGACCTAAAATTGACTTGTCTGCTAAATTCGTTTAACCCAAATAAATGCTGTGGCTCCAACATATCAAGAGCATGTCCGCTACACCGCCACAGCTCTGACTGCATTGTGTTTGCACCAAAAACTCAAAAATTCCCATGATATGTGCACTTAATTTCCGTTAACTCCTGTCTCATTTGTTTTGTTTGAGTGGTTATTATATTCTTGGAAGTCCACTTTGTAGATTTGCAGGTTGGTAAAACACATATGTGTCACCTTTGACCTCCATGTCTTGTGATGTGCCTTTCTTCCAAATGACTTAATTAGTCCACTGCAATCCCTTGTGCCGTCTCTCCATCCCTTACATCACCTGCACTTATCAAGCATTTTCCTTTACGAGCTTCCTTCGTCTGTTGGGCCTTATAGCTCTGGCTTTGGCTGTAATTCATGTCTGTGTCTCTGCTGTCACCTCAGTCATCAGGGGCCTGAATTGCAGCTTTCCGGCATTGTTGAGACCTATCACTGCTCTGAAAATGCTCTCTCAGTCCTCATTCAAACTAATGGAAAGCATTGATTTAAAGCCTCTTTCCCTGTAGACAGCTTTGCTGCATGCTCTCATGCTGCAAACTATTCCTTACAGTTTTGTTCCAGGCTATTTTGAAGGTGTCACTTTAGGTCGAAATGTGATTTGCTTTGCCACACATTAAAGTGTCCCTATTATGTCATTTTTACAGTTCCTAATACTGTTTTGGTAGTCTCCTAAAATAGGATTACATGCATGTAAGGTCAAAAAAGGCTTTTGTTTCTCAAAATATGTATTTAACATCACCTCATTTTCCAGCGATTCTCAAACGATTCTTTCAAAGCAGTTCTAAGATTAAAAAATAAAAATAAAACCCTTAAAGGGGTCATATGATTCTTTAGGGTCTTAATGAAAATTCTGTAACACAGTTTGGTGAAAATTTCTCAATGGTAGTGTAAAAACACAGCTCTTTTCAGATCAAGCCGTTTTTGTAGCATTTCCCTTTAAATGTTAATGAGCTCTGCTGACCCCGCCCCTCTCTTCCGAGCTTCTGTTTACTTTAGCCGCATTCATCGTGAAACTTGCTAATTAGCAAATTTTTAGGAAAGGCGATTTGCAAAGATTCATTACTAAACATTATACTCACTTCTTCTGTAGATGAGGCTGGATCATGAATAATTCACACAAAATAGACACATTTAGGCAGATCGGGGGAGCATTCCCTTCAGAAACAAATGTCTCAGATGTCGGGAGTAAATGACGAATGCTATGTTCATTATTACATCCAACAACAGAACACCTCAATCGCTTGTTTGGAGTCATTCTTGTCTACATCTGCTCCGGTGGTGAAACAATGGCAGACTGATGACAGCTCACTCAGGGCAGGTCTAAGGTAAGACACCAGTCCAGTCTGTGCTGAAACGCTACTGTCAATCAAACTATCATGGGAGGGGCCTGTCTGTTTGATGTCACACAGAGGCATTTGAGATCGGCTCGATTTGAGAAAGGGGTAAAGATTTTAGTAGATTAAAAAAAACCACTGGGTGGATTTTTATCATCATAGGGTGGTTGTGTACACACACTGCCAACACACATTTCAGTTCAAACTACTTGTAGAAGTGCATATAGCATTCTATGACCCCTTTAAATCTCTCTAAACCCCTCCTTTCCGTGAGCCTACTCTGCTCTGATTGGTCAGATGGCCCAGACTGTTGTGATTGGTGTACTGCGTATAGCACGTATCAGAAACGATACGCCTATTGCCATAGTTCCGTATATTGAATGCTCGATAGAAAATATAAACATCTATTATTTATCATACTTGTGATTCAGTGGAGCCAGCTGGTCCAAAAAAAAACGGTACTGAGCCAAGTGTTTAGTGAATCCCGCGTTGAACTCCCAAGATTTTTTTTTTAACTCCCCAAGATTAGAGAAGCAGTCGTCAGTAAAATGACGTGTTTGTGGGTGGGGTCAAGTTGTTTGCTGCTGGCCAACGTAGAACATAGGCAGAATTAGGCAAATGTGTTCCCACGTGACGTGTAGCCATCACGGAAGTGGGATTTGAATTACTAATGACTCGTTTAGGCTGTAGAGAGTTAATTCTATATTTTGGGAGACAATAACTTTATCGTGCACTTTTTCGGCTTTACAACTTTGCTAATTGTTTACATTCACATACAGCTACATTACACACTGCATGAAAGGCAATATTGGAAATGGCATAATCGTGGCACTTTAATGAGATTTCACAGTGTGAGTTGGTCTGTTCTTTCTTGCTTTCTTTCTTTCTTTAGTTATTTTTATTTTTATATATTTGTTTTTAAAAAAATGAGACAAAAATATAAGAGGGTTTGCATAAACTGGGCCTGAAATCAGGAAATGACTTGAGCCCCAACTTGGTTTGTGATTGTGCATGTGCACAGCCCACTGATTTTTTTTTTTTTAAGGTTTATGCATGTTTATTGTCATCAGAGATTGTTCATGTCATCAGAGAACCAAGGCTATTAAAGTTACCTAACATTTTATGCACTTGTATCACATACTTGCTTTAGGCGTTGTGTCTTACTGGTGGTGAAATCACAGTAACCGATGGCCTTGTCATCGCAACTGAAATGTCATGCTCACGCACATGTTCTGTAATCACATGATGGCCTTGCAATCAGGCGGGTGCTTTTCCTTGCTAAAAAGGCCACTTAAATTGGCTGTCCTTGTTTTGTCCTCGTTACATGTAGTCTGGCATTTTTGCTGCCCATCCTTCATTTATAATGCTATTCATTAAAGTGTTCATGTTTTTATTCATGTCAACGGAGTTAATTATAGAGCTGCTGGACCCAAAAAAAACTACTATTTCTGTTAAAATCCCAGTCTCTCTCTTATGTTGATTCAAGGCCAGTCTTTGATGCAGGCACAAGTACAGGCTTTACCATGACACGGCCTGCCTTTAATGATTTATGTGTCATGTTATGATATCATGTTAAGTATTTAGCAGTTATAAGATGTATTATTATTTTATTTCCATGCCTCTTATTATAGCTGTTAATTCAGTTCACAGATAAATCATTTATAATAGGCAAGACGACATTCCGTGTAAAAATACGAATAGTGAATTTTGGTGGCACGGTCACTTAAAAGATTTCTAATTACATTAGGGCTGCACAATTGATCCAAATACAATTTCTAATGCCACGATTATGACACAAACGGCTCGAATAGTTCCGGGTTTGATGAAGGCCACCTTCCGAAAAACAAAATGTGGTGTGATTGGTTAGCTGTCCCAGTGCGTTGTGATTGGCGAACAGCTTAGATGGTGTTTCAGTACTGCCATGCCCCTTGCCCAAACAGCAAGTTCTGTCTGCTCCGGTATAGTTAAGGATGTATCGCCATATCAATTTGAGCCGGATTCAGACCCCGAGAATATTAAACAAGAGGATCGCGCAGAACCTTTGCACGCACGGATATGGACGGACATGGCGGAAACTTGACACTACAGCAGCTCTTCTTCTTCTTCGTTTTCTCTGGTGCACTAACTCTGCAGCAGCACTTTGTCGTCGTCGTCTTGTCTGATGCGCTCAACCAAGCGTTCTAACATGACCTCGCCCCTCCCCACCCCCCAACCATACGAATTTCCGTAGGCGGCAACCATTTTAATGATATTCTAATGAGCCGCTTTGTGACATCACAAAACTCGGAAAACAATGCTGAAGTCCAAACGATCGTTGAAGTTCTTGAAAGGGGATTTTTTTTTAAACGAAATCTCTCCCTTTGGAGTGGACTTTGAAATTTGTAACTTTGTAGATCCTTTTTATTGCCAAACATACACACTACACACTGACTAAAATTTAAAAAAAGTGAAAAAGCATAATAGGAACTCCTTTAAGATAAGTGTAATTGGACTTTGTAGTTTGTGCAATGTGCATTGCTTAAGGGAACAGTGGTAAGATGTAGATTTTAAAATATTTTGTCTTGTCCCATTTTGTTATGCAGAGATCATTGTAAGTCATTCATATTTTAAATTCCCTGAATTCTGTAATGCAGACGGATCCATAGGGGCCTTTGGGAAACGTCATTATTTTTGCAGTTCAATTGAATAGGGATGCTATTTGAACAGAAATAAACAGTTTCAATTATTGACGACTTCTTTGCTTTGCTTCTTCCCTGTGATCTTTCTTTTGATTATTATTTAATTTTTTTAATTGACGTGACCATGTCTTCTAGCCTTTTCACCCTGTTTTGTTTGAGATTGCTAGTTTGGCAAGCTTGGGGCATCGTGGAGAATACTAAGTGATGTGTTACTTCAAGATGGTAAAGTGTTTTTGAGTAGAAGTTGTCAACCTCTTCTGACCCAGAGATGCTTCATGACACACTCAGCCACCTCAGAGATGCTATTAAATGAACATGTCAGATTGACATTGTCATTACTTTAATTATTAACATTAACAAAAATTAAAGGTATAGTTTACCCAAAATTGGGCATTCTGTCATCATTTACTCACCCTCATGATGTTCCAAACCTGTATGAAGTTTTCTTCTTTTGAAATGCAAAAGAAGGTATTTTGAAGTCTAATTAATTTAGACTTATTTGTATTGCCGTCTTCTGGATTTAAAAAAGTCATGAGTCCTATAATTATTTTAGGCCTCTTTTTATAACCTCTTGTAAACAGGATCAAATAAAAGTTAGTCAGTATAAGTTAGCATGTTCATTGGTCATAAGTCATAGTTCATTACCACGGTTAGGGTTAGGTTAGGACAGGTGGCAAAATCACAAGAAAAGCTTGATGTGTACTTATACATCAACTTGCATGTGTAACTATGTTTGTTTGGATATTGAGAATCTTGTCATTTAATTTGTAATGTTTCAGATATGCACTTTTCTATATAAGAACAATATAAGAATACAGCCCATCATTGTAAAGTACAGGAGCTGTATTATAGAAACATCCTAACTCAGAATATTATTCTATCGGTTTAGTAACCATGACAATTTCACTTGACTCAAGAAATTAAAATGTGTTCTTGTCTTGCTCAGCCTGAAGAGAAGTGGTACAGTCGCTTAAACTGCAAACATGAGAAGATTATGAATCCATACAAGTTTCCCACTGACATTTTGAAATGCTCTGTGGCTTTTAATACTTTAACATTGCACCTCACATTGACTACACAAATGAAGTATTTTGAGTCAGATACACAAATCATTTTGTTGTGACGTCTGTACTAGGGGATAACCTGATTTCATAAAAAAAAGTCTTATAAATGTGGTGATCTTTTTATTGGTTTGCATGTAAACCAGTAAAAAGGGTTATTTCAGTAAGCTGATTGTGGTAGTTATCTGCATATTAGTATGCATGCAAATATGCCTATTGAATGTTAATTAAGTTTTGTCACTGCTCTATGGAAATGAAACGTGCTGTCATCTGATACTCTAAACTTCTTAAACTCTTTTAGATAGAAAAGTTAGATTGAGCTTTTTTGATAATTCATGTTACACTGTAACCATAAAATAAATACATAAATAAAACGACAACATAGAAAAACTAATAAAGACCTTGCAGAAAATTACCAGTACATTTCCTTCAACCCTAAAACACAACACAATACAATGTGTAATACAAAAATGTGTATAAAACACCTGTACAAAATTATATTAACATGTAATTTTCATATTAACAGTATATTGGGCTGTATTTTAACAGAGTGCAGGTTATCATCCCTCTTAAGAGATGCAGAAATTGTAGTCAAGGGACCTTAAAGCTGTGTACCCTCTCAACTTCCAGGGTGCTGATGGGTAATGGATAATTATTATAATGTTACATTAATACAAAATGAAATGAACATGGCCAAAGTAAGTTGTGAGATGGGATGTTAGAAATATGAAAGCACTGGCATTTGCATGATGCAAAAGACTGAGAGCGTTGCATTTCTTCCTCTGTAATGCTGACAGAGCTACAGGCCCTGCATCAATGACAAACACCTCTGAATGTGTATGGGCTACATGCTTTTTAATAGGAGAGTTTCTACAGTTTAGACAGGTGGATCAAGGAAATTTGATGATTAATGTCACATTTGTTTGAAATATGATGCTGTATGTCAGTGTGTTAATCACATATGCCATCCATACTTAATGTGAGTGTGTTAACAGATAGGCCCAGTTAGAAACGAAAGGAAAATAGAAGCATTTGCACTTGTGACTTGAGACTATTGAATGAAAATTTGAAGATATTGGTACAAGGAGCTCATGTATCAGTGCAATATTGTCAAGACAAAGAATCAGTGTAACTCTAGTAATACATTTTGAGCTTCAGCTGCATATAATCCTGAATCTTCACAGTTGGCGGAATAATTAACACTTGCTGCTGAACTCACAGTGTTAAAAAGGTCTGCATGTTTCTGTGTCTCACAGGAAGGTGTGGAGGTGAGAGTAGCTCGGATCTTCAACACCTTCGGGTCTCGCATGCACATGAATGACGGGCGAGTGGTCAGTAATTTCATTCTGCAGGCTTTACAGGGAGAGCCGCTGACGGTAAGACCCATTCACCTCATTAAAATATTGAACCACATGCAATGTTAATTACACCACCTAACTCTCAGTTACTGCTTTGACTCATTTCAGACTCACACAGACACACAAATGGGTATTACTTCCATTTGCGGCCTTGTGAAATTAAACTCCCATAAAACACGCTTTTATATCATTAATTTTAATCTACATATAGTGTCTAACAGTGGGCATCCATACAGAATGCCTTTATTTCCTTACCTACTGTATTAAGAACTGTCATCTCAAATCACTAAATATTTTACGATGAAATAGATGGTCGTGGAAATTGCATTACATTTTTTTTTTTAATGGTTAATTTAATGCTGACATTTTAAATGCACACAATTAAATAATATTTTCACACTTTTTGCGTAATGTTATGCAAAAATGAATGGGTTTTGCATCTTTCTTATGCATACAATGTATTTAAAAATTAGCAAAGAAAAATTCTGACATTTTTAATGTGACCTTCATATAGGCCTGGCCGATAAAACGGTATCGGTATTTATCAACAGTACACCTTCATTCATGACAATAGAAAAAATGTTCGATATAGCACACAATAGTTTCAGGCTCGTTTCATTTATTGGCGCTTGCTATGAGTGACAAGTAGACAGCACACACGAACACGTGCTGAAATGAGTGCTATGCCTGCCTGCGATGAGGAGATTTGAAAAAAAAAATATTAATCATATTTAAAAACGGTGCATTTGAATTTTAGCTGTACCGTCAGGGAGCCTTATCAGTCGCGCTCAAGATGCGGTGATGATGATGTAAGTGTCGTTGTGTGTTATGCCTACTTCACACTACAGGATTTTAAACCCAATTTAAGTCCGATTTGCAAGTCTACTATTATTTTGCTCATTGCACCCTCCTGGAGACCAGCCAAAAGTTTCCTCAACAGTTATTTATCTGCATATAAAATATATGAAAGGTGGTTTTTGTTTAGTTACAGTGGTATACAGTGGTTAAATTTAAACCTTTTTTTATACTGCTCTTTGTTTAAAAAGGTTATGAAAATGTTCAATAATTATTGATACCGAATGAAATGAATCATTATATCGTGATACTTTTTTTTTTTTAGCTATATCACCCAGCCTTACCTTCAGAGAGGAAAAAAAAAAACTTTTTTTAGTACAGAAATCAGCATTTGAACGCTTCCTTATTGTAAACACTTCAGCTGACTTGAAGAGTTTTCATACTTATTGACTGTTCCTTGTAGAAGCTCCTTACATGTGCTGTGATGACTGATTGTGGTTCTGTTTGTTTCTCCTGCAACTTTTTCAGGTCTATGGTTCAGGGTCTCAGACAAGAGCTTTCCAATATGTGAGGTAAGCACTACAATCTATGTATGAGTGGGTCTTCATTTTTGTTCACATGCAAAAGTAAATAGGATGAAAAGTACTATAAAAAAAATATAAAAACAACAAAATATAGGAACATAATCCTATGATTGGCTGATTACCGCTTCATTTTGAACGGTGTATTTTCACAACAGTCCACAAATAAATTGGAAAAAGGAAATGATCTGTGAAAGATGTTTAAAGTCAGCACTCAGCTTGCTTAAACAAGAGCTTTATCTCTGTGTCTGAGGTAAAAACAAGATGTAATTGGCTTGTTGTGTTTAAACAAGCAATGTTACAAATTATGTGAGGGAGGGGAGGGGGGGGGGGCTACTACCATGAACAAAAATGTATGCAACACATCCATCTGTCTTTTTTCTTTCCATTTCCTTCCATTTTTGTGTCACCTCTAGTTTTGTTTATTATTCCTTCTAATGTTATTGTGCATGTGAATGATAAGAGTAGAGAGAAAGCCCATCTGGTCTCTGTAATGTCAAAGGAACAGCACAAATGAAACACGTGAACAAACAAAAGTATTAAAATGAGTCTGATCAGCGCAGTGCCATGTTTTGTCTTAATGAAATAAACCTCAGGGAAAAACAGACCTTCCTGACAGATTTCTCCATGGTGTTTTCAAGAACGGAGGTCTGCTTTTGAAGGGATTACTAATGCCTTCTGGTAATTGCATTGAAAGTATTTCAAAGGCTGAACACTGTTTATTGATTTAAAAGGCTGCAGAGTTTGTGTACAGACTGATAATGTGGTGGTGCTTTGGTGGAAGCAAATTTATCAGCTGTTAATGGGCTTTGGACTCGTCCCCATGTGATATCCATGAAACTGGAAGTGAGAAATACAAATGACTGGTGGATATGGATAAATGTATATCCTTACATATGTATATATACATTGCATATACATATGCTTTAAATATACAGAATTTCTCATTACTGTTTCATTTAGCTTAATAAAGACTGTCTAGTTTATACATCTAATTAGTACTCTAATGCTGAATAGGAAAAAAAAAATAGTGTCAACTTAACCCTCCTCCCTCCCCCTGCCGAGTAAAATTAAGTTCCTGTACGATGATCAAAACATTTTATGAACAGAAATCGAGTCCATCAAAGATTTTGATTGTATCTACTTCAGCAGTATTTATTTAAATGCTGTTGAATGATTTGTGATCATGTTATCTTATATCAAAAGCTCATATACCCTTAGCTGGCTGTTCAGTCACCTCGGGGCTCAGAGCATTTGCTTCAAAGCCGGCTGACCACCGCAGCTAGAATAATGAAGAATGGAATAGTACTTCGGTTCCATCCACTATTTCTGCTTTACACAGATTTTCGTCTTTGTGTGTTTTTGGATCCGAAGATGCTGTACTAGAAGGACTTTAATAGCTCTCCCTATCATATAACAGAATAAAACACAAATTGCTGGAATAACGCAAGGAATGATGGAAAATCCTGTCAATGGCAGGGACAGAGTTAATAGAATCTAAATATTTTCTAGATGGTTTACACATATAGTATTGACAATATTTGTAATTTTCATAGGATAAATGGCTTCTTAAATTTGAAAATATATATTTGAGTTGACCTGTCTTTGAATCTGAGCATAGGTAAGCCATCCCTGTCACAAAACTGACCCAATCTGAGAAAAGGGGGGTGATATCAATTTCCCCAGTCTGTTGGCATAGTCTGGTGAAATATATCATTTAGGCAGAAGGAATGCATTGGTCTGGCAAAGCCATCATGTAGCACCAACCCTGTTTATGAAAGTGTCGTATGACCTTCACCATTTGTGTCAGGAATTTTGTAAATGGCACTTTAATCTGACTGTCATGTATATTTCATCAGGTGTCCACCTGTACAGAATGGTCAAAATCAGTGGCACCTGCAGGTGTACGGCTGTACACACTGTGCATACCATGAGTGCTCTGATTGATCTGAGAAAGTTTTCCCTGCGAGTATTTTAGCAGTTATTATCTATTTGTGTCCCGTATTTTTGTCGAATGAACCAGCGATGTCAATAATTTGTGATTAAATCATTCTTTTGAGTTGGTTCTCTGTTTTCGGTGAAAATCATATAGACTTTCCCTGGATCTGAAATTAACAGGGGCTTGAGGCAAAAATGCCACCAAATTGAACAAAAAAGCCCCTGCACAATTAAACTAAATCGATCACGGCTGTCGCGAATAAAGTGAAAATGAAATGAAAATTTAATTGATTGCGGCATTACATTTAGATCTACTCATATTGCATCATATTTCTTTTTACGTGGTTTACAGCATTGTGCAGTATCACCAATCACACGATTCTGTTGAGTTTATGAATGCAATAGCCAATCAGAAGCATTCATATAAGTCATCACTAAAGCACCAGAGTTTTGTTCAGTGCGTGCACTCGCTGACTGAATTCTGCACTCTCGCAAATTCTCTCATCATAAACAACAAAGTGCAGATGTATGTGCGATGGAAGTAAGAGACTCATTTGACAATGTAGACAGCTTCATTTATAATAACAGGAGTTATTATCAGTGATAAAGGGATTATGTAAATGTTCTTTGCTTGCTTTTGGTACATAATTTATTTGCTGTTTGAATAAAAATGGAAATTAAACAAAGTAATGAAATACTTTAGTAACTTACAATGTTTTTATTAAATCGTGATCACGTTAAATATAAATTCAGTCATATTTAAGTATTTTATGACATGACACCCATATCTGGTACTTGCTTAAAAGGATATGTTTATGATGTGCGTAGTTAATAGATTACACTAACATTAGGCTACTGTTATCCTTATACCCTGGAGTTGGTTCACCGCTTATGATGAATCATCTGAAGTGGTTTCTGAGTCAGTAAAACAAACAAGAACACAGAGACCAAACTGTGCTGGGTGAAGTGGATGATCAAATACAAACAACTGAAACAAAACACTACATTTTGAAATGTATCCTTAAAAAATTCCTGTGAATAAGTGGCCATTCACACTGAATTGTTTCCCATGTGAACATGTGATGGATGTCTTTGACCATTTCATTGCTTTCTGCCATTTTCAGGGTTAAAATATTTTTTTTGTGTGTCTAGAGACACCTTCATTTAAAAAAAAAAAGTGTATATATATATTATATATCGCCCCTGGTATGATCTCAAAATATATTGTGACACTGTTTGTAGATGATATTTTGAGTGTAATTGAATTATGCCAGTTTCATCTAGAGGTATATGGCTGCTTGGCTCCATCTTTAGAAGACTCATCATTCTGGCAGGGTGAGATATCGGAGCCATCACTGGTTATTTGAAGTCTCACTCTCTTGGTAGAACAAATATTCTCCTGTACGAGCAGTTCACTTAATTAGGACTGTGTAACATAAGACATAGGATTGACTGCAGAATTTTCCTCCAGCTTTCCTGTGAATCTTTTCAGACTTCTGACTTTCTGAGGCCACAGTCCTCAGAAAGTAATGATTGAGTGTCTAAAAGCTATGCCCAGCTTTTAACAGTCTGTTCATACAGTATACAGAATATTCTAATGGCCCCACTGAAGGAAGTGTTTTTGGCAGTTATTATGACAGTGAGGAGTTCATTTAAATCATGATTCAGCCACATTCAAGCAGCATAATAATTCAGAAGGAAATGTAGGGTGAGTTCATACTGCATCCTGCTGGTACAATGGCTTTGCAACATTACCATTCAACATATAGTGAGTTTGATATTTAGAGGGTAATTTAGGATATTTCGCTTTTCCTTTATACAGTCTCTTAATATGTGCAGTAGTGAATGAATGAATGAATGATGCATTTATATAGCGCTTTATTGTGTATTGCTGTACAACCAAAGCGCTTTACAATCATGAGGGGGGGATGATTCAGCCACATTCAAGCAGCATAATAATTCAGAAGGAAATGTAGGGTGAGTTCATACTGCATCCTGCTGGTACAATGGCTTTGCAACATTACCATTCAACATATAGTGAGTTTGATATTTAGAGGGTAATTTAGGATATTTAGCTTTTCCTTTATACAGTCTCTTAATACGTGCAGTAGTGAATGAATGAATGAATGAATGATGCATTTATATAGCGCTTTATTGTGTATTGCTGTACAACCAAAGCGCTTTACAATCATGAGGGGGGGTCTCTCCTCAACCACCACCAGTGTGCAGCATCCACCTGGCAGCCACAGGACAACGGCGCCAGTGCGCTCACCACACACCAGCTATAGTGTGATGCAATATACCCCCCCCCCCATACAAAATTCTAAATCAGTTTTTAATAAATGAAACGACCACAGAAACATTAAAATAATCACATTAACAACGATGGACGGATTTTGAATTAAGAAAAAATGTTGGTTGTGTGACTGCAACCAACAAAGTTTTGACAAAAAAAAAAAAGGTTTTATAAAATGATAAACCTCACATTTCAGACTAACAAAAGGGATATGAATTAAAATGATGAATGATTATATGTATTTTATCTGCTCTGTTAATAATTCTGAATTGTTTAGATTTTGGAATGCACATTAACTTATTCTCCATCAGCTGGTTAAACAGCATAAAAGTTCGGTTTGATTTTTGCATTGGTTTGAACAGGGGCGAATTTAGTGATTTCGGGGCCCCAGGTGAAATATAGGAATACATTTGCACAAATTAAAGCTCAGCGTGTGCACTTTAAGCCCATATTCATGATATAACTACAACTTGAATATGTTTTGGTCACCAGCTAAAATAACAAAAATTGTGCCTGTGTCCAAATATGGACCTAACTGTATATGAAAAGCATTTTAGGGGGCCATTGGCTTTTGGTGGCCCATTCGCCTTGTTGGGAAATGTCACGCCCCTTACCATAGCCGCCTGCGAGCTTTAGTGTAAATATTACGTCAAAATCAAATCAATTTGAGCGCGGTTTAAACCCGGATGATTGTAACCACTCTAAGTTCTTCTGCCTTGGGAAAGCTAGCGTGTCTCCGACATAGTGATAACACTCG